ACCCAGAGAAAACCCACGAGGTTGGACAGGCGACCCTACTCCTTGTCACGTACAACCGGGGATTCGAAACCACGCCTGTTGACTCAATGACGGGCTTTATGATACAGTGCGCACGTGCTAACAATTCAGCCATCCAACCCCCATGTTATGGAGAAAATTAGAACCGAAATAGATGAGTTGGTACAAGTGCACTTACTTTTTTTGAAAAAAATATGTATGAAGAATTATTTCTGCCTTTGCATCACCAGTCAAAAAGGGGGCATATTCTGGCGCATTCCTCCCAGGTTGCCTGACTGTATCTGTGGAAATTTAAACCCCTCTTGTTAAACTCTATTGAACAAATGACAGGGTTAGGGTGACTAAAGATCAAGCACAAACAAAATTTTCAATGTGAATGTAAATCAAGCTGCATTACACTTTTACAGATAGATCAGTAATAGATGTACTTGTTACAAGTGAAAACTTTCTTGTATGGTTTTGTGTATATTGTTTGAATATAAAAGTGTCAATAAATTTTCATATTATATTTTGTCACTTTATGCTTACTATATGTTTTTATTTTACTTTTTTATTATAATTCATTTCTGACGGTTTCCCCTTGTCAGTGGTGCAGGCGGAGGGCTGACAAGGCACAAGGACAGCAGTCTAGTCGAGGTCCTGTGTATACATTGGTGTGCACGTAAAAAGATCCCTTGGCAGTTGTAATTTGATATAAACGTAGGCCATAGTGCTGTGCCCAAGCAAAATTTGCTTTATAGCACACTGTATGGCGTATATGCCCATCTTCATTAGACCATTTCATTTCTAATTCATTTTACTAGAACCATTTTACTTAGGTAATTACTGTTTGTTTTTCTCTTATATGTACTTTTATTTACTGGTTGGTATATATCTTTCAATTTTGTACAGTGTATATGGGCACAAGACCTGATCTCTGTGTAAATACATGTATTCTGTGAATATAAGAACCTGAACAGCACATTAGAAACCGTTCTCCAGTATTAATACACTTTAAAAAAGGATGATGTTATTATTATTATTATATACATTTTTCATTAATACTAGTGGTGTATGGTATTGTTGTGTACGGGGAAATTTATATAATTGCATTTGTTTATTTTTTTTAATTTCTTTCTTTAAATAAATGTAATCTTATACTCTCTTATAGGGGGTTGGGTAGCCGAATGGGTAGCATATCATAAGGTCTGTCATTGAGTCCACTGGCATGGTTTAGATTCCACGGTTGTACTTGACAAGGAGAAGGGTGGCCTGTCCAACCTCATGGGTTTTCTCCGGGTCCTCCGGTTTAATCCCACTGCTAAAGACCACTACACGCAAGCGAATTATTGGAATAAAATTGAACCAAAATTACATAGTTTGTGTCGAGTGGAAGTTAAACCCCATTTCTCTCTATATATACTCTTATAATAAGTCTATTGTTTTCTCGTTTTAAAAAAATAGTAAAATTGATGAAGGTGAATTATTATTAATTGTATCGATCAGATCACATGGTATTATTATTTTTGTTTTTTTCTTAGCATTATATATAATTATAAGACCGAACCAGTATTTCAAGCATGCCAAAATCGTTTTCATCTGTATTAAGTATATATTTCTCTTGGATATTGTTTCACTGAAATAGTTTTGAAGAAATACTTGTTTCCAGAAAATAAAAGATTCATTCAATCATTGGTGCTATTTCCTAATTATTGGCCATATTTATGCCACAGATCAGGGGTAAGTTGTCTTTACCGTGTCAATGCAACATTTAACAGGCAGGCATCGATATTTCCGCGCACATGCGCATGGCATGCGCAGGCACAATTGCTTTAAAAATTTGTTTTAAAGATGTAGCCACCCCGGCGGCGCCTGCGGCCAGCACTATTTTTTGCCGCCCAGCACAAAGAAAAAATCGAAGAAAGCCGCCCAGTCGTATTTAAACCCCTTCATCCTTCTCTGTACACAAACTCGGCGCTCAAAATTTACCACGGCAATTAAGCGGCAAAGCCATGGTAAAAGCCGATGTACGCAAACCATGTCTGTCACGGCATAATTTATTTTTGTGTGCCGTAGTAGACCCTATCATCCCAAATTAGTTTAAAGAAAGATGTCTTGGTATTTTGTTTATTTATACTTAGAAGATGTGTAGGCCTAGGTATATTCATTTTACAATTATTCTACGGTCTTTATATTTGTTTTTTTGCCGTAAATAGGTCACCCAGACCAATTTACGGCACTCCAATGTTACAGGTTTGAATGTCGTAATTGTCCAACACGTGCCAGCAAATTTTCATGTTTCTTATTTTATTTCTTACCTGTGTTGACCGTGGATTTGCTACGGCCCGAGAGTAGGACTAGGAGGACGATGAGAGCTTTCTCAGTTTCTGCCTGGCCTGATTCTCATTCCACCGTAATAATAATAATATTCGTGAGACACGTACAACAACTTTACAAACAAGTCAAATAATACAACGTGTTTTAATTATCAATATCTACCTGTTGTCATAATTCGTTGCAGTACTCAAATAAAACACAAACACTGTTTTAAGAATCGTTTTAATTTTTAATCTCAAAGTAATAAAGTAATATTTGAAAAAAAAATCCAACAAAACAACAAATACCGAAAGGTCCTCAACTATCCAGAGAAACAGAGTGGGGCGGGACAATTTTATGCTTGGTCGGGTGGTGTCAAAAAGTTTTTAGATCCCTGTATCATTGATGAAAATTAAGTGAATTTGGTAAAATTTGAATATATAAATGGAAATTTGATTTGGACTGAACCAAATACAAAAGGCAGCAGATGCTCTGAAAATACACCAAGAAGGGTTTAATTTTCATAAAAGACCACGCCCCCCTCCCAAAAAATGTTTTGACTCGCTTCGCTCGCCAGATATATTTATACACCACTCACCAAATCATAGCTACATCCCTGTGTTTCAGTATGACCCTGCAGGCACATTTTCAAGTGTGTGCACAGGCACACTCAACTTTTATAGAGCCCTGTTAACAGGTGATATTATCCAGTAATCCCGGCATATTTGCAGAGAAATTCTCTCAGACAAATGTAAACAATCCAACGTGTTCCGTCTCATAAAAGGTATTCACTGGTCTATTTATGGCTATTGACCCTTGACCTATGACGATCTTTGCTTTTATGGTTTCTGATTGGCTTAGAATTTGATTTTATCACCCGATTATAGCTATACACTTGACAAATATAGTTCGAGACGTAATTCGAGTGCAAGACGTATTGTGCAATGCATCGGAACAGAAAAGTATGCAACAGTGACGGCCTACTGGTTAAATTATGTAACAAAGCTTCAGATTTTCACCCGGAATTTGCTGGGACGAGATGAAACGATTTTCGGGGCTAAATCACAGCCTACAAGGTTGTGGACAATAATAGAAGTCACAATTTTTTTCCAATTTTGATTAAAATTGAAATGTATGTTTATAATGCAAACATTGTGGTTCCTTTTGATATTTGCTTATATCGGACAATAACTTTCTGGATTATGGTCCCTGATTGTACAAAAAATCACATTTTTAGCTTGTGGACCTTCCAGAGGTCACAATTTTTATCCAATTTAAAAACGTTTAAATTTATCACCTTTACACCCTAATGACAGTTGAGTTTTAATTTCATGAAAATCGGGGAAAAAAATGCCTGACAAAATGGCAGTTCCTTGTACACAAATAGTGTAAAAGTATGTCATACCAGGGTTTGTGGACCCTCTAGAACTAGAAGTCACAATCATTATTTATCAGATTTTGACGAAACTTAAAATATATGTTTATGCCCCAAAGATCTCGGTTCTTTTTGCTATTTACACATACCAGATTGTAACTTCCTGGATTATGGCCCCTGTTGTACAAAAAATCATTTTTTTTTTTGCTTTTTGATTCTCTAGTGGTCACAATTTTTTATAGGTTTTTTAAAAAATGTTTAAATATATCACCATTCCAGCATAATGAAGGTTGAATTCAAATTTCGGGAAAATGGAAACAAAATTGCCCGACAAAATAGCTGCTCTTTGTACGCAAATTTTGATGATATTTGCACATTTCTGACCATAACTGTCTGGATTATGGCCCCTGATTGTATGAAAAATCGCTTTTGTTATTAGCTTGTTCTCTATCCATCTCTTGCCTGACAACCGCTAGTTGTGTCATGAAAAGGACAATCTTAATGGTTATTTCTGTAATCTAATTTAAATATTTTGTTGATAACGGAAGTGATGTCATGGTGTCGAGTCTTCGTTGTATCAATGGAACTGATATTGCAGGATGTATTGCCTAATTCTGCGTCCATTTTATACCACGTGTCCAATGCTCATGTGGAAATCTGTTTAATGTTTCCATTGGTACGGGAAGTGACGTCATTCCAAGGATAAAGTGGCACCGGTGGAACCCGTCATTACTGCATCGCAGTTTTTTAGTTATTATTATTATTAGTGAAAAATTTATAAAGCGCATAGCTTCCACTGCTAGGTGTCCAAATGTGCTATACATTGAAGTCAAAATGTGTTAGGAATCAAAAGATCTCAGATGAGTTTGATTTTGGTGTGCCCCCTTTTCCAAAAGCCATGTTAACATTAAAAAGGCAATATTTTACCTTCCTTTGGCAAAAAACTTCTGAACGCAATAGGGGCTATGGCTATGGATTTATTTCAAATTTGTGTGTAGCATTGGGGTCATGAGAAGACAAACCCCATCCATAGTCAGCGATCCGTGACATTCCTTTCCGAAGTTATCACTTTTTCCGAAAACCTTGTGAACACGATAGAGGCTACAGTTTTTAACAGATTTATTTCTATTCTGATGTGATCATGAGAGGAGGAACCCTATCTATATTCAGCATGGATGTGACAATATTGAACAGAGATTAGATTTCTTAAAGGCATCAAAATGTGGGTGTATCTTGCATGACAACTGCTTGTTAGATATTTGTGAAGAGTAAACTTTTTGACATCGTTGTAAATTACATGTTTTTCGGACAGGTTATTGAAGGGTGTTGCAGCTCAAGATACTGCATTTAAACGTAGATATGAGTTGATGTTTGTGGCTTTAGCTAGTGTAGCTGGTGATGCTTTATATCAAGAGTTTAAAAAACAAGAAATTTTAGTTAAAATATTAACTAGTACAGCAGAACATGTACAGACTGGCCGGGATAAAGACGTAAGTTATTACAATAAAAAATAGAATACGATATAAAAAAAACCATTGTTTTATCCAACATTTCGTTAGTAAAAATACTAACTTCTTCAGGGATGAAGAGTCAAATTCAAATTGGCTGGAATTCAGTTATGACATCATGGCAAGTGTCAATTATTATTCGATTTTCATACAATTTTCCCTGTGTGATACCGAATGCCATTTACGATTTTATACAAGTAATTTAAGATTTTCATTATCATCGGAAGTAACGTCATTTTGGCAAAAACTGTATTTTTAGCCTCTAAAACAAATAATTGTTTGAAATAAGCGATATTCATTATTCGTATATCAGAAAATTGTTTTTAACATCTTCCTTTGCCGATAAATAACCAATTTTGTCAGGATCACTTTTTAAGATTTTTTGTAAATACTCAACTTTCTTCTACCATAAAAAGTTTCTTTCGGCACCGGAACTGACGTAATTTTGCCCAAAACTTCAATTTTGACGTGCCTAAAGTCTTTTAAAAAGCAAATATTAATGTTTACAAATCTAATAGATCAAGATGAATGCTCCTACTAAAGATGCAAAATATGTCTTGCTTAGTTTTTCATACGGCCACATTGGAATGTGGTCGTATATTGTCGTCACCCCTGTCCGTCCGTGGACGCTCTAGAGTCTAAAGTCAATATCCGATTGACTTTAAATTTATACACAGTGTTTAAGGTCATGAGACAAAGAAGCCTATTGATTTTCGGCGATTTCTGATACTTGATCACTTCAGTATTGATGTTACTAGTGGATTACCCACAGTTCCGTGAAAAACACACCTAAAGCTTAGTGTTGAAAATCGGATCGAGATTTGTGATCCGAATACTTTTGTTGGCTATCCGAATACTATTCGGATAATTCGGAGACGTGAAATTCTTGAACACAATTACATCAAAAGTTCATATACCGGTACTCATTATTTCTTACTTGTTTCAATGTTTATGAGTGTCTGTATGCCGAGTATGAAATCGTACTTTCGATTTGCAAATTGTTTGAGCCGCGAAGAAAAAAACGTGCCTACCTTTAGCCGTAATTATTAAGACTATCTATGACATCGGTCTGACATCCCAAAAAATCAATGAGGTGAAGGAATTTGTATAGTATAACTACTCCTGTTATCCGCACCCTCCCACTTAACATTTTGCTCAATCAACACAAATGAAAAAAGTAAAATAAAACCATGTGCCATTTATTCCAGCAAGGTTGTTTGCCTCATTCTGATAATCTACTACTATTGAACCAATCAGTGAGTGGGAATATACGTGACCTAGGTCGTTATGAATAAATTTCATTGTGGGAAGTCAAAACACGGTCTAAACTCGTATGCCGTAAACTAGCGCAGGGAATGAATGAATATTTTTTTTATTTAGACTACTGTTTTCGTTGCACTGCATTAATAATTTTATTAGTTACTATCACTAAATAATACGCATAATGTTGACATTTATGCTCATGGAGCTGCGTACGTGATCAATTGCATTGGGGAAAATTTCAAAGTGATCAGACGTAAAAATGGCTAAATATAGAGCATACGGAATGTCAGAATATATTGTAACGAATAGTAAACGGATAGTAAAATGATTCAGATAATCCTTATTTTGTATCCGTGAACAAATATCCGAATAGTAGTTTCAACACTACTAAAGCTCGCCGTAACAGCTTTACGAGTTAAATAACAACTCTTCCAGATCCAAGTGTAGTAAAGACAAGTAAAACAAAATTTTGAACTATAAAAACGAAACGAAATAGGATCTGAGTTTTAACCAGATTGGAGGCTAAAGTTAATATCCAATTGACTTTAAATTTATACACAGTGTTTAAGGTCATGTGACGAAGAATCCTATTGATTTTCAGCAATTTCTGATAATTACTGCCAGAGTTATGGCCCTTGATCACTTTAAAAATCTACTGGACGCTCTAAAGGCTAAAGTTAATATCCCATTGACTTGAAATTTATACACGGTGTTTAACTTCATGAGACGAAGGAGCCTATTGATTTTCCGCAATTTCTGATAATTACTACCTGAGTTATGGCCCTTGATCTAGAGGCTAAAGATAATATCCCATTGACTTTAAATTTATACACAGTGTTTAAGGTCATGAGACAAAGAATACTATTGATTTTCAGCAATTTCCGATAATTACTGCCAGAGTTATGGCCCTTGATCACTTTGAAAAATCTTGTGGACGTTCTAGAGGCTAAAGTTAATATCTGATTGACTTATACACAGTGTTTAAGGTCATGAGACAAAGAAGCCTATTGATTTTCAATGATATCCGATAATTAGGGCCACAGTTATGGCCCTTGATCACTCTGAAATATCTTGTGATGCTTTAGAGGCTTATGTTATCATCCGATTGACTTCAGATTGATACACAGAGTTGATCACTTTGAAAAATCTTGTGGACGTTCTAGAGGCTAAAGTTAATATCCGATTGAATTTATACAGTGTTTAAGGTCATGAGACGAAAAAGCCTATTGATTTTCAATGATATCCGATAATTAGGGCCACAGTTATATGCCCTTGATCACTTTGAAATATCTTGTGACGCTCTAGAGGCTTATGTTATCATCCGATTGACTTCAGATTGATACACAGAGTTTAAGGTCTTGAGACAAACAAGTATATTGATTTTCAATGAATCAGCTAAATCCATGATATTAAATGTTCTGTATGCTAAACGTTAGTATAGGGCAGAACTTTATAAAAACCAAACAAATTCTAATGATTTTCTGATAATTACTTAATGAGTTGTTACTCTTAATCATATTTTAGTGTATTATAAATGTTTCATTACTGAAAAAAGTAACGAGAACATCGCTAACGCTGCAATATACGTCCACATTCCTGCTTTGATTGATATGGTACTTTTTAAAATGAAATATGAAATGGCTGTAAAATGACAAGAGGCAAAGCAGTTTGCCAAATTTTCAGACAAAATATTAACAAAAAAGTAGGTGTGACACTGCCCCAGGGACCAAAATAAATAGTTGCTGTCTTTACGCTATAACAAATAAATATGCAAAGTTCCAATATGATCCATTCAGAATTGCAGCCTGTAGACGATAAATGCAAAAATTGGGCATGGCTCTGCCCCTGGGGGTTGGATATGGAACAATATAAATAGGCACCGCCCTGTTACTGAAATGATTGATATGCTCAATTTGAACAAAATCTGTTAATTATTGCAACCTGTAGGGTATTTAACAATAAAAACTAACAAAAGTGGGTGCAGTACCACAACCCTGGGGGGGTCGGGACATGCACCAAAATAAATAGTTGCTATCCTTACAGTATAAGGAATAAATATGCCAAGTTCCAAAATAATCCATTTAGAATGCCAGCCTGTAGACAAAAAACACAAAAATTGGGCGTGGCTTTGCCCCTCGGGGTTGGGCATGGACCAATATATATATAGGTACAACCCTATGCTGGATCATTCCAAATTGGATCCAAATCTGTTGATAATTGCAACATGTATATCATTTACAGACAAAATATCAACAAAAAGTGGCACCACCGAAAGGGCATGAGGTGGGGGTGCAGGGGGTTTGGAGGAGGGGGACGTGCATCAACATAAATAGTTGCCGTCCTTAGAGTATAAGGAATAAGTATACCAAGATAATCCATTCAGAATTGTGGTTTTCGGGCGCTAAAGGCAAAAAGTGGGCGTGGCTCTGACACTGGGGGTCGGTGCATTCACCAAAATCAATAGTTGACGCCTTCAGGCTATAAGGAATATGCCAAGTTCCAAGCTGATTCATTCAGAATTGCGGCCTGTATACGACAAATGTGACTCTGTCCCTGGGCGTCGGGACATCCAGTTGTCGTCCTTAGGCTATAAGGGATACATATCACAAGTTCAAAGACGATCCATTAAGAATCGTGGCCTGTAGGCAACACACACAGACACAAAGAAAAATGGTCATGGCTCTGCCCCTGGGGGTTGGACAATCACCAAAAAACAATAGGGGTCATCCTCAAAATGATCTGTTAACAATTGCAGCCTGTGCGCAAAACACAAGACACACAAACATTGGGCGTGGCTCTGTTCCAGGGGGTCGGGCATGCATCAAACATAATAGAGGTCAGCCTTAGGGTATAAGGAATAAGTATAAAAAAGTTTTCAAGACGATCGATTAAGAATTGTGGGCTGTAGGCGACACACAGACACACAAAGAGAAAATGGGCGTGGCACTGTCCCTGGGGGTTGGGCATGCACCCCAAACGATAGGGATGTTCCTTAGGGTACAAAGAATAAATATGCAAAGTTTCAAGAAATGCAGCCTGCAGATGACAAAAAAAAAACCCAAATATAAGAAATGGGCATGCTCCAAAAACAATAGGGACCATTCTTGGGTATAAGGAATAAGTATGTCAAGTTTCAAGATGATAACTTAAGAATTGTGGCCTGTAGGTGATACACAGAAAGAAAAGGGGTGTGGCTCTGACCCTGGGGATTGGGCATGCACCCTAAACGATAGGGATGTTCCTTAGGGTACAAAGAATAAGTATGCAAAGTTTCAAGATAATACGTTAAGAAATGCGGCCTGTAGATGACAAACAAATACAATAAATGGGCGTGGCTCTGGCCCTGGGGGTTGGACATGCACCAAAAACAATAGGGATCATCCTTAGGGTATAAGGAATAAATATAATACAAAGTTTGAAGAAAATTGAGTAAGAATTGCGCCCTGTATGCGACACACATACACACACACAGAGGGGCGACGGCATAATACCTCCTCATTATGAATGTGGACGTATAAAAATATGTGACAACTCTTGTTGACTGCCCGGACAATTTAGCTGCTGTGGGCGTATGTTTCGTTGCCTGGCCCAAAATTGACAGACAAAATGGCCGCCGTTCGTTCTCAAATAGCGTAAAAATATGGTATATCAAGGTTGTGGACCTATAAAGATCACAATTTTTATCCGATTTTGTTGAAACTTGAAATGTAAGTTTATAA